CTTTCCTTCAATCTTTCAAGGTAAGAACTTTAATCAATATCTCAATGTCGATACATTTTTAGTCCAGTCAAACTGCGGTTTGACCTAGAACAAATTGCAACAGAAACTCTTTCATCACGAATCTTTATTAGTAGATGTCATCAGAAACAACATATCAAAAATCATATTTAATCCGAGTGGTGCAACACCTTCAAAATTGCCATCTTGTGCAGCATTCTCTCTCGTTTAACATGAAGACGAGGCTAAAACCGGAGATTGCACTAAAATAGTGCCTTTTGAACTGATAATTGCGCAGACGGTCTTAATAAACAAGCATCGGTCATCAAAAATTACCTCCATTAAGATAGTGTTTGAAGTCAGGGGGGTGGATGTCTTTAAATAGTTAAAAAATGAATGGATGATATTTTCGATATTTTGGTTAATTTTATTTCTTCCAAACAATATCGAAAATACACAATACATATCACAAGGGTGTTTTTTTTTTGAAAAAAATGACTCACTGTAATGGCAATTGTCAAACGGGGATTTCACGACCGAATGGATCCATTGATGGGCAATAATAAGCGATCGATACGACAACGTTTTTCGAAATAATTTTATAGCAGTTGTACGGATTTCAGTTGTTTGAACACACATTTAAAACTGCATTAAAATATATCATGTGATACCAATAAAACACTATGAAATTTACAGAGATTAATGTGTTTACGGATTTATTATAGAGATCGTCTATATACACCTATTCCAAAACACGCTGTCTGAGAGAATGCCAGATATCGATTGCACGACCGAAAGGGACTATGGATTGTGCAATTAAAAGCATTATAAGCAACTCAATGCTGTTGCTTACAAAGAGTGAATATGATACATTAGATATGATATATGATATATGATATATATGATATATATGATATATGGTATATTATTTGGTTAATACCAGATCTACATTACTACAACAATCCATAAATTAAAAGTTCAATAAACTCCTCGCTAATTCTTTCGGGCTTGTTATCGACATTCCGCATTCGGCGTTCTACTATTTTTATCCGACGTTGTCTTTTTTGAAATAGGTACACTTTTTTGAAATTGCGTACACTTGCGTTTGTTATACTACATTTTGCT